ATAAATGACCAAGTATAATATTTTTGTCTCATTTGTTGAACTGAGTTCTCTTTATCTACTTTTAAGACTTGTGTGAAAATTAGATGATGTTTTAGGTCATATTGATGCAGAAATGTATAAAATTATAAAGAGTTAAACTTTTAAGCACCACTGAATGTCAGATTTTAACACAAGTGTCATTCCCACTGCGTAAAAGTAGACTTCTAAATAAAATATGACATATGTAACTGTTCTGTGTTTAGACTTCCCTGAAAACAATGTAATTTTATGAGGAATGTTATGGATTCATAAAGAAGCATTTCACAATTTCAGTACACAAAATGATAAAACCAAATTACTGCAGTGCTATTAGTAATACTTTTTCAATAAAACAAAGGACTTTAATTTGTATAAAACCCTTTAATACAGATATTTCTTAAAATGGAAAGGCATTACTTTTTCCATTTGGACTGAGTCAAGTATCTGAGCATTTAGTCAAGATCTAGCACGATGCCTGAATAAAGCATTCAGGTTGAGAAATACATTTTGAACATTGAGTTTTTCAGGAGGGGAAGCGCCATCTAAAGAAAAATACATAAAAATACATTTTAAAATAACTTGACATCCATAATGACACTTCATTCTAAAGATGTTTGGAAAAAAATAAAATGGAGTTTAATGTTTACAACTCTTTAACAAAATTTTTACGAACTGCAGATTTAAGAGTAGAATTTTTATTACCTCAATATTGGCATAAAGCGAAATGACTTCTCATCTAAAAACATGCAACGGCAATAAATTTGTCCTTTATAAAGGGTGTAGAAGCAGGTGAAACAAAAACATTTTTAAGTAAGTTCTTCCATCCTTCAACATGTCTAATTTTTAAGCAGGATCAAGAAGGAATTTACAAGTTTGCTTGTGGTATTTAAGTAAAAAAACAGCAGATGTATTTGCAAAACCTATTAGTCCATCTCATCAAGTCCTTACGAGGGTTTAATAGTCGGAGCCATGGCCTAACTTGACTGGCAAACTTGAAACAAAACCATTTTTATTAGGTTTATCTTTTAAAAGTTATTTTCTATACTAAGTTTGTGTGTGTTTGTGTGTGTGCAAGCCATAGAGATGCTGTTTTTTAGATTAGCACATGTTTCATGTTAAGTTCATTTCTTTAAAACAGTATGATGTGTTTTAGATCAGCACATTTCTTAAAAACAGTATCCTTTTATCGTCACCAGCAAACAGCAGAAAAATTGTACAGAGTTTGCATTTGCATTCCCCTTGCCATTCCACGTGAGGGTGAAAGTGAACTGGCCAGCTTTGGATCACAAGTCAGGTGGGAATACAAGAGCCTCAGCAGCACATTCTGCATCACCTTCCTCATCTTCCTCTGGAATGTTTTCAGGATCCCATGTGAAAACATCTGAGGCATTGTCTGCAAATGAGCCTGATGCGCTCCGTATGATCTCCCATGGACACAAAGCATCACGACGACCCAAAGCTAAGCTTGATTTAGCCTCCTCTGTCTGCTCCGTGCTTACATCTCCCAGAGTCTCATTTACTCCAAGTGGACTCTGGATATCTGTGCCTTCATTTTGGTTGTTTGCAGCGAAAACCTTTTCGGCTCCATTGATGTAATTTTTTCTGTCATCTCCTGGTTCGTTGCCATCAAGAGAACCGGTATTTTCTCTAGTGTCATCTTGTTCTTTTGCATCTTTAGTGTCTACGGTTTCCCATGGACAAACATCTGCCCGACTACTGTCTTGCTTTTTCAGCATTTTTGGTTCCTCTGTCTCCCATGGACAAACATCTGCCTTTGTGCTGTCTTGTTTTTTCAAGACCTTAAGTTCTTCAGTCTCCCATGGGCAAACATCTGCTTTGATGATGTCTTGTTTTTTTGTAACATCTGTCAAAGCACTGTCTTTCTTTTTGAGTATTCTTGGTTCTTCAGTCTCCCGTGGACAAACATCTGTCAAAGCACTGTCTTTCTTTTTGAGTATTCTTGGTTCTTCAGTCTCCTGTGGACAAACATCTGTCAAAGCACTGTCTTTCTTTTTGAGTATTCTTGGTTCTTCAGTCTCCCATGGACAAACATCTGTCAAAGCACTATTTTTCTTTTTGAGGAGTCTTGGTTCTTCCGTTTCCCATGGACAAAC